ACCAGTAAAACGCCCGCATCACTGCAGATGCATCACCAATCTGCCTATCAATCACCTGCTCCATCTTTCTGTCATTTGTGAACAAGACCCCAAGATACTTTAACTCCTCCACCTGGGGCAGGACCTCGTTCCTGACCTGGAGAAGGCATTCTACCCTTTTCTGACTCGAGACCAAACTTGAAATTTTTTTATTTGAATTTTTTTTTTTCTGTCTGGGGTCCTGCATTAACAGTTTCTGTAACGGTAACATAATTATAAATCTGAATCAAAATTCAGTTGTACTAAAGAGATCATCTGATAAGTTGTACATACTGCTAAGTGAATAAAAACCTGTCAAATTTGGGTCCTTCATGAGTGTAATTGTCCTCTTGACTCAATTTGAGCATGAATAATACATTGTGAAAAGTGTTTTGATATCTCTGTTTCAAGCATCATTGTATGCATCACTTCTCTGTGACAGCTGGTATTTAGTCCTCTAGGAGTGTGGTGGCCAATGATAAACAATTACCCTTTTGATGGCATTAAGCCATGTCAAAGCCAATCTAATTTACAAAATCTCTTACAATACAAAACGGAGTTGATCACACTACTAGCTACTTTTAATGTGAAGGATAGATTTGATTTTTAGTGGAGATCTTTTAGCAGATCACATTGGGTTTCCTGGTCATGCGTTCAAGCAGTTGGTAGGAATAATAATTTTGGCACCGGAGATGGATATTGGCAACGCCCGTGACTCTCTTTACACACGTACAACATCTGGAGTCCAGCAAAGGTCACAGATGCTTCAACAAGCTCAGACTGGATTGTAATATCTGTTAAAGTTTAAAGTGTCTGTGCTCTAAGAATTTGTTTGATCATTATACTACTTTATTTACATTGTTTCTATTTTGAGTTGACAAAAGAAATAAAGATGGCCTGCTCATGTTTGTTTGATGCTCTGTAAATGGTGCTGCCTTGCATCTCGTATCTCTGAACACCATATGCTGTTAGTAGAAATCCCAATCATGATAGGAAGGGGTTTGGTTGTCGTTTAGCTGCTCTCTTCTGCTGTTTATAAGGGGAAAGAAAGAATATGTTATAGGTGTTGAATTTTCTCTCTATTTTCAGTAACACATTTGATCACAGTTGTTTTTCCTCACCCACACACGGTTTTGTTCCTTAGATACAATAATTTTTGGGAAGATAATTTTTTTCAGTTGCCAACCAGAGATCTCTCAGGACTTTGAGCTTTTTCTTCAATATCTTCCTTGGTTTCAGCAGCTTTTCTTCTCTGCAGCATTTCTCTGGACACTAGACCTGCCAAAACTACACAATATGTCAGTATTTATTGTAGAATCTAATATTTTAAACAGATTTTTCTCTGTCTCTCGCATATCGTTTTCCTGATTAATAAATTGACAGTTGCATCACCAAGCGTGTATCTATTTTGAGAGTGCATCCTTGTTAGATGCATCTAAGGACATTATCCATGCAGGAGGAGAAATGAAACAGGGTCAGTAGTTAGCCTCCACTAGGACAACTTTGTCAAAGGTGCTTTCAGTCATCAAAAGGCCTTTCAGTTAAGAGGAGGCGATTGGTCCTTTAGCAGTTGCTAGGCAACTGTATCAGCATTAGTCTTGCAAGTCAAGGAGCACTAGTGGGGGACATTCAAAAGGAGACATGCAAGGGTATTTCTGCATGTGTGAGAAATGTGGGATGTACTAGAATGTCCCGGGTGACAGACCTAATTTATAGATTGTCTTATTTTATTTTTACCAGTTTTGCAAATAAAGTGACAATGAACAGACTATAAAACCACTGCTGGAATATTGTTGGGATATTTGGGGACATAGTGAAACCCATATTCCTCAGAGAAGCCCTTTGATATGATGATGAAACAGGAGACAGTTTGTCTGTTTAATTAAGGTGTTTGATGTAGCTAGTCATCTTATGATATGAAAGCAAAGCGAAGGTTTTCAAGTATTGGATGAACAGTCTACCATTTCTGCTGTCATTTGGCAATTTGGACCTAATACAGAGGGGTAGAGCCAACTGGTCCACTATTGCATTACTGATTGCACGGAAGTGGTCAAGTTAGGTTGTTTGGGGAAAAAGTGGATTCCTGAAATCCTTTTCCTTAAATCATGACTTTTAAAAGGGGAATGTATTTGCTAAGGACTCACTAGGGGCGTCATTACTTCATTTAACTGACAATCATCAAAGAAAAAGCCATGCACGGTGTACTTCTAAACATATATTTAATTAGAAGTGGGGTAAAAATAATTAATCTGTCATAAGAAGAAGAAAAAAGGCCTACTTTTTCTACTTGCATTCTGTGAATTTCTGTGAAGATACGTATAAAAAGGCTCAAACCCAGTTACCATCTATGGTGCTACCATTTGATTTGGAGTGGTCTTCTCATGATTAGTAATCGGCCTGAGTGACGCTTCAAGGACCAGGGGCTGAAATCTCTACCTTGAAAACGGACAACTTTCTTATTTTTAAGGGTTTCATTTTGTTTGGAGGGTTATTTGAAGGATTAGATACCCCGTTGATCTCTAAATGGAACAGGACACCGCAGAAAAAGAAGTAATGTAAAACTGTTGGAATAAGCTAATCTCGTAAAGGATTCAGGTCATGTGTTGCAGATCTGTTTGTTATCTTTATGACAAATAAATCCTGTTAAATTAAGAAATTCAGCATGTAATGACATGATCTTACCACATTACTGTGTCCAGGTTTGACCACAGTTTACATGTATTGTTCATATTGATTTTTTCTATGCAATACAGGTTGATAACTGAATTTGGAAACAGGAAATGTATCTTCCATGCAGTCCCGAATGCCAGATAACAGTGTTATAAAAGCTATAAATCACCACCTTACACTTGTTTTCCTATAAAAATGACAAAAGGCCATTAATCTTTCTCTTGTAGAAAATGGCATTAACTTGTTGATTTTTTTTTAGAGCAAATATTTTTATAGAAAAGAGATGTGCTGTCTTTTGGTCAATTTTATGCAGGTTTTACCCTCAAATAACACCTGGAATATACTTTTAATTACCCAAACTTTACTACCACACACCCAATGCTGTTGCTTGTTAGCACTAGTTTCCTGGGATGAAAACTCGGATAGACATGTTGACCCCATCCTTGGGAGGAAAGTTCAATAACTGGCCTTGTTTTTCTCCTCCAGAGAACTGGCCTGCAGAGTAGATGTCAATTTTTGGCTGCCCCTTTGTGTGCATGTGTAAGTGCAAGCCTTTTAGCCTCCTGTTTAATTATGGTGCAGATCATTGAGCCAGCGGACCTCTATCTTGATATAGCTACTGTATGCTTGTTCCCATTCAATCCAGAGGCAAGACAGTGGTCATTAATGCTGCTTAACAGCATCGCCTCAGTCGATCCGGCCGACACATTAAACGGCCTCAGTTTATAATGCAACAAAAAGGTAAAACTAAAAACGTTTTCATGTTTGACCATTTTCTCCTGAAGCTTTAAGGTTTTCGTTGTCCTAACCAGGAAAGCTGGTGAGCTGAAAGACACTGTTGCTGTAATCTGTTTGATCAGAGCTAAATGTTACCATGGAACAAAAGATAGAGAGAGAGAGAAATGATGAAACCTTTGCTCAGATAAAGGCCAAACTAGATATAAAAGACATGTGCAGCCATCCTGAGAGAATATTATTAGGCTGTGGATGATAAAGGCAGGTATTAAAATCACATTCCATATACTCCGATTGATGCAATCAAAGGACCTGGGGATCAATACTGACATTTAGCCCATCAGCCCTCAAAATGTCTACTTCAGTTTACATCTGTGTGTGTGTGTGTGTGCGTGTGTGTGTGTGTGTGTGTGTGTGTGTGCGCGTGCGCGTGCGTGCGTGCGTGCATGTCACTCACTATCGCATCCATCTGACTCCGAGCAAGAAGGCAGCAGGCTCCCACTCCTTCCCTGACTTAAAACTCTGTTCGCAAGATTATTTATGTAACATCGTTCTGGGTTTCCTCTAAGATTTTTGTAAACCATGGTGGTCAGCTGTTGGCGAGGGTGTCTCGTTAAACAATCGGGAATTGGTTTTGAGTATTTAGATCAATTTGCCTAGAAGCTATTGAAGAACCTCACTTAATTTTTTATGAAAATCATAATAAAAAAGGTCAGATTGTGTGAAATTTGTTAAAACGTGCCGTGTCTCATTGGCCTAGTTTCGTAACCCCATTGGGAATTGGTTTTAAGTATTTAGATCAGTTTACAGGAGCTATTGAAGAAAATACATAATTTCTCATAGAAATCTTAGAAAACTCTAATTTCCCTCTGGGATTAATAAAGGATTGATTGATTGATTGATTGATTGATTGATTGATTGATTGATTGATAAAAATATTAGATTGTATGAAATTAGTTAAAAACTGTTGTGTCTTGTGGATTTATTTTAGTAACACAACTGACAATTGATTTGAGTAATTTAATCAATTCATCTGGAAGCTTCAGATTTTTTTTTTTACTCGTTTTCAAATGAATAGAAATTTGTTGATAGTCCCTAAGCGAACCACTGCTCTCATGAACGAGTCTGCGGAACACAGCTAATGGCTAATGAAATCTAGGGATGCACCGATACCAGAATATCTGTCTATCCAACATCCAGCTAACTTCACCTGGGTGATGTTTGGCCACTACGTTAACATTAGGGGTCATTCTCACAGGTGTGAACTAAAATATATTCAACATAACCTTCTCTAGATGCATTTCTTTCAACTTTTCTCTCCCTCTACTTTGGGATTCCCCCGGAAGAGCTGGCTCAAGTCACTGGGGGGAGGGAAGCCTCGGCCTCCCTGCTTAGGCTACTGCTCCCACAACCCGAGTCCGGCTAAGCGGAAGAGAATGGATATATCTTATATGCTTTACATTGTTTCACCATATATTTTCTTCACACAGGAGCTAAATATTCCTTTCTTTTCTAAATGTAAACCGATGTTATAATTGAACCCACCATGTTTTCCATCTCTCACCTCTCTAAACCAGGTGTGCGCCATGGCGACGAAATCTCACCCTCCGCTAATGAAGAAGCACAGTCAGACGGACTTGATAAGCCGTCTGAAGAGCCGGAAGATCCTCGGAGTCGGTGGTGAGGACGATGACGGCGAAGTGCACCGCTCAAAGGTCAGGTCGTCTCAGATCAAACACTGCTGGACTCTAAACGTTACATCATTCAAAGTTTGCATGCTAGAGCAATGCATGAATTCAAGTGCATCAACAAAGATGTGTTTTGTAACTGAGAGGAGAGTAATCAATTCTGTTTAAAAGCCACGATGTCCATCTAATTGTTTCTTATCCCTATTGTGGGCCTTTGCTGCGTATGCTTCAGTAAATCTAGATCACTTAATTCATGAAGCTCTTGCAGCTCTACTGAGAAATGACAAGCCCCCCTGGGGGACTCCCTGCCTTTTTCATCTCATGTGTTATATTACTTTCTGGCATTTATGTGTACATGCATATGGACAATGCATACCTAAACAGAATGGCACACACGCTGCTTTATTCAAAGGAAAAAGTCACGCTTCGTTTTCTGTCCACAGCTGCACAATTTCTCCCCCTTTTTTAGATTCAAATATCAGCGTGTTAGTAGGTTTTTTTTAAATATATGATTTCATCACAACGTGCAACAACACAGCCGACAGTTCCGCACTGAAATATTAATCAGGCGAGTGAGAGAAGGGAAGAGAACAGAGCAGAAGGGAGCAGGCATACGGTGGTGGCTGATAGCGTGTGATGAGATGTCAGCCCCCTTTTCTCAGCCCTCCTGAGTGTTTGTTTTCTCTCTCAATGTTTTAGCACTGAGCCTAACCCAGACATCTGTCACACAAATCTCTTCCACTGAGCATCCTCATGGAAACCGACTAATTACATATAAAGGTTCTGTACATTTTGAAGTACGTTGATATTCTTTAGATCAGAAGTAGGGCTAAATGATTATAGACGACTGATTTCTCTGACAGGAATTGGGATTTGAATTTGATTCATGATTTTCTTAAAATCAAGCCTCAGAACATTATTCACAAACATGGCAGGAAGTGACATCATACCGTCAAAACATCAAAAGCTGTTACTCTATGCCATAATAATAAAAATTCTGAAATTGCTTGAAAATGTATTTATTAACAAGAAACACTTTCAGAGTTGTCCAAGCATTGTGTAACCAAGGCGGGCTGCCAGGACCTTTTCTCACAAAAGCACCAAACAAGGAGTTTTGGTGTGTTATTTGGTTTCCCGTAATCCCATAAAGGCTAATAGAGATAATTTAAATTGTTTTTGAAAGAAGAGAAGTTTTGCTTTCGAGTCCACATAGTGTTATTACGGTAAATCCCTTTCCGCTGTTTCAGGAATTAGATAAAACTGTCTCTCCGTCTCACACTCAAGAACGGTAGATGGCTTGTATTTTATATAGCGTGTGTTTCAACCCCCCAAGGTGCTTTACAACATAGCCAGTCAAAACATTCACACGATAAGGGGCGATTTGTACTTCTCTGTTTGCGTCGGTGTGGAGACATTACGGCATTATGCGTCGGCGCAAGGGCTCTCCGAAAGAGACATGCCCAAATTCTTAAACATCCGTAAAACGTAAAAAAACTATATTTAGGAGCAGACACAGAACAGATTTAAGAACGCGTCACAGAAAAAGTCTGAAAATATGAGCGTTTATTCACTCATGACTGAAGGAGTACAAAGGAGGAGGAAACGTTTTATCTTTAGTCGGAAATGACGGGAGACATGGGTTTAGAGGTGGAGTCAAATGAAGGACACATTTGTCTGTGTTATAAAGTCTCTGAAATATATAAACACATTAGTAAATACACTGTTGTGGACCGGATACATGAGTGTTATGGTGACGGGATACCACAGATGAGCATTGCACTCTGTTGTCCTGGTGGGAAACTGCTTTGCAACGCTCCCTAGGTGATGGACAAGTCAGAGAGTAAAACGTCTCTGTCAATGTGTCTCTACCTAGCGGAGCTGACTGAGAAGTATAAGTCAGGCTTAATGGTGATGAGCTACAATGTAGCCACAGCTGCCCTGCGGCGCACTGATAGTCACCAGTCCCGTTAACCACCAGCAGAAGGCACGGTGGGTTACGTGTCTTGCTCAAGGATACATTGACTGCAACAGCCGGGGCTTGTACTTGCAACCCTCCAGTTACGGGGCAGGCTCTTTACTCCTCAGTGACGGGACAGAAAATGACTGACAGCTAAAGACGACTACAGCTAAGAATCATACTGGCCGTGGCAGATGCACTGACCCATTAAGTTGAGCATTAGGCTCCCACATCCCAAACACCCCACCACCGCTGGTGCTGACTGCTACCACCGTAATAATTTTAAAAACTTGGGATACCCCTGGATGTGTATGGTAGCAGGCAAAACAAATCCAGGGTCAGTCAGGAGTGCTGTAAAAACCACATCTTTGACAATCTTGTCGCAAATCACAATTTTGATCAGAAAGCGAAAGATCGATGAACCCTATGAGATCATGTCAATAATGGCAATTAAATGCAGTAAAACAAGGTTGTAGTTTTTTATTAATATATTGACATTGCCTCATTTCTACTGTTGCTGTACCAAAAATATTTTTATACAGTCGTGACTGTTTTCTTTGCTTCAGCCTTTTTGGGGGAAAACAAGCCCCTGGGATTTGTTCCAAAAGTAAAGATGGGTCTCTACGTCAGTGCGAAAGGAAAACAACTGAGCTTCTATAAACAAAGAAGGGAAGTGTCTTTTCCTGCATCCGTTACTGATAAGAGCTCAGTTCCAAACAGGGAGACATGTGTGTGTTACCTGTGCCGCCAAATGCGAGAGCAGATGTAGTCCGTTGTGTGTTGTTACTAACGTCTTCGACCCGTTAATGTGTTGGTTTAGCGCAATGGTGATGTCACAACAAACGGGTCATCACAGGCTTTTATCACTCATTTTTAGGGCCCGGGGGCCATGTTCCACCATTCAGTTGATGCGCCTTCACAAAATGACTCTGTCTTTCTCTGTAGCTTAAAAAAGTGTCCCGTTGTTGAGTGGCTGTAACTGACAGACTGATGTCACCACAATCTGTAATTAGGCACGTTTTCCTGTTTTCCTTTCATACACCAAGCCAACTGTGTGCCATCAGTTAACTCCCAGTTGCCTTCGAGTGTTTGTCATGCCGGTCATGAATATGTATGTGTTCCTGTCAGAAGCAGTCCCTGGAACAGGGGCACAGGAAGGCTGATTCACCTGGTCATGTGATCACAGCTGGTGCTGAGGGATTCATAAAACAGACACTGCAGCCGCAGTGCAGGAAGAGGTGTAATGGGTTTTTGTGCACAACTCTTCATCTTAATAATTTTGGGGTTTTGGCTTCAAGGGAGTATTCGTGAAGCTCACGGCACGAGAAAAAAAAAGGGCAGGGGCAAGCATTTAAGGGCTGGAAGAAAACAAAATCAGAAACACCAGGTTCTTTTCTAGATTTTTGATAAAATTCAGACATGATGTTTTTTTCTATTCTTGTTTTCTGTGTTTGATGTATTTTAGCTCTGGGAAGGTTCCTAAGGGAACCTAAAAGTTCTGTAAATGTTTTCTTCTTTACACCAGCTGCACTTTTATATTTAGCAAAACATACATGGTGTGTAAATGTGTTAAGTAGAGTAGTGGTCTTGTTTTGATCCTGAACTTTAAGGTAGAAGCCATTTTCTTTCTTTTTTTATTTTTATTTTTTATTTTTTTGCACCCTGACATTTTGCAAACTTGTCAAAGGGCAGAACTACTTAGGACTGGAGGCATATTCCCATACTGCAGGCATCATCTCCGCCTCAGTATTGTTTAGGATTTGGTGTATTTTTAGTTTCTATAATGTTGTATGGCTCCAGCACAACAATGCATTTTAATGGAAGATGTATTTCATGATGAAGGGTCATCATTGATGTTAGACATGATGAGAACGGCTTGTGTTGTGAGCTATTTTTTGTGTTATCACCTAAGATTGTTTTTCAAAACGTGGGATTAAGAATGTTTACCAAGGAGTCAGCTGACAGTTGTGCTGTTATTTGATGTTATTGCATGTTTGAACATTTAGGTCTGTTCCTGAAAGTGTTAGCAGCATTTTGAAGCTCACATCTATGTTTTATGTGATGTTAGGTATTGACTTTGGAGATATAATCTCCAAACTAGACCTGTAAAGTCGTTTTATGTATACACTAGGGTTGGGCGATATGGCTTAAAATCAATATCACGATATATTGAGGATTTCACCTTGATAACGATAACTACAGATATGCGCAGAAACAAAAGTTGTCCACTAGATTAGGCTGTCACGTGTTTTACATTCAGTCTCATTTTTACGTACCTCAAGCTGCTACAGCTTCTTAAAGCGACATGAATGTTGCCAACCTACACACATCTTTTGATTTTTTTAATTTCAAAATTATTGACATGGGAAAAATTGGTCAGAAATTTCGATAACGCTAAATTTTCGATTTATTGCCCAGCCCTAGTGTACACAGATGTAGAGACTGACCGATACAGCATTTTTAAGGCCAGTGCCGACACCAATTTTTAAAGAATTCTGTTGCCGATGGCCGATGTCTAAAGCCGATTACTAAGGCTGATATATACACATTTTAGCAGCACACTGATTGTGAAAAACAACTGAAGACTCACTGTGTGCAATATAAATTAAATGAGTCTAAATCTCTTATAGAACTTCAAATATAAAACTAACTCAAAATCATCTGTGCAAACTGTTTCAGAACTATGGAAAATAGAACAAAAGGAAATAAAACCAATTAAAAATTTTAAAGTGTTTAAAATAAAGAAAATAAAACAGTACCCAGAATAATGGTGCAAAATAGTGGCTAGTCGAGGTAGAATCTTCAAGTTAAAAAAATAATCACAAAGTAAAGCACACTACCACATTGTAGTAAAAAAATTTAATCCACACAGATCTACGTCACACTGTAAAATATCATTCTTGTACTCAAGCATATTGGCTCATTATAGTGAAGGCTGATTTTTGTTTAGCATCCGGGAGAGAGCAGAGCATCTCTCAACTAGTAGAAGCTAACCATTAGCGTTAGCAGCTCCACAACATTGCAGAACTCCTCCAGGCTTGTGTTATTTGTGGAGATTAAACATCAACGTTGCAAAGCAAACAAGAGTCGGTTGTAGAGTTGTGTTGCTGTTAGCTGATTCAATGTGAGGTGTTCAATTATCACGAATATTAATGAGTGAGATCCCCCGCTCCTCCGACTAAAGCCTAGTTCGTACATCTCTGTCTACGTCAGTGCCGAGACACGCAGCGCCATTATCCACCGTTATCCGTCTCCAGTAGGCACGCAAAGACAGACTGAGTACAGACCATTTTTAAAAAATATTCATTTAAACTGATGGAGATCGCAAGCCTGTGATTGGTCAGGATGCTGCTTCCTTTAACCTCAACAGCAGCAACGTTCTGCCTCAAAAAAAATTTAAACAAGAGCGGAACATATTTAGCGACAAACACGGAGCAGATTGAAGAACAACTCACGAACAGACGATTTTTACGTTATTAAACCCGGCACTGAAGGACTGAAAAGATAAGCAGCAAACTTTTTATTTGTGTCAGGAAATTACAGGAAACGTTAAGTTTAGAGGTGGTGACTGGATGTAGAAGTAGACGACAAATGTGTCCATGTTAAAATGTCTCTGAAATACATAAACACAATGTAAACACACCTAGTCTGGGCAAAAATTCTATTGAATTAATTAATTTGAGTTTTTTTTTTTTTTTTTTGCGGGCACTCTTTGGGCTCCCAGGAGCTTTCATAAATTTAGTTTTACATAGTAGTATGGCAAGTGACTAGGGCTGCAACAAACGATTATTTGGATAATCGATGAATCGGATGGGGTCTCGACACGATTAATCGATTAATCGGATTACATAGGGACATTTTTAAAAAACTGCTAGGGAAACGTTATTTCTCTCCTTCCTTCACTTTATTAAACACAACATTATTAGAAAACAGTTCAATAGCAGAAAAACAACATGCCATCACCTAAATTGTCTTATAAGGTGTATAGACAGAGACCCTAAGCAACACCTTTCTGTGACCTAAAATGCTTGGTCCAAGTTAAACAGCTTAAAGAGCAAGTCAACCCCTACCAGAGTCTAACTCCACTCCCACTTCATGTTTGAAAAATGCAACACATGCTGTTGCCTGGCAGACCGAGAGGGCGGAGCCGCTAACAAACACAGGCTCACGACAGCATTGTGACATCATAATGTACCAGTTTACATCATAGCATACTTCTTAGCCAATAGCGGTGGCAGATTTAAATTAAAATACAGTGCAGAGTGTTTACCTGACAACGGCACAACACTGCCAGTTTTAGGCAGAATATTTAAATTTTAACTAAGATGCACTGAAGTGCCAAATTATTGACGACACGTGTCTGCCGCACGATTAGACACTCGTTTATTTAGTTTATCAGCAAAAAAAAAGTTTATTTGGGGGTGACTTGCTCTTTAAGGGCAATTCTCATCTGTTTTGTTTGATCTCATCTGTAGACATTTATTATAATTGGGGATGTCAAACAACTAATTTTTAAATGTAATTAAACATAGGCTGTGAATGAATCAAAATTAATCACTATTTCCAAAAATGACTGAAAAAATACCAAATAAAACAAAAGTAAATGAATGCCATCCTCCGTGTGATGATGCCCTGGGCAACTGCCATACAGTCACATCAAGAAATGCTGCTGATCATTCCAATGATCCCAAATAGACTCACATTAGGCCACATGAAAGCAACTGAACCCAAAAATATATTAACCAGTATATAACTGCACTCTCACACAACACACCTTTAGCAACAGTTAGGACTCCCCCCTCCCTTAAAAAAACGTTTTCGCTTCTGAGGGCATTGTGGTTGTAAAGCCACATGTTAGTAGTCTGGCCCCGGTGTGATCAACCAGTTTCTGCGGGAATGTGACGGCGGAACCGGTTCGCAGCGGCGCGAGTTCCCCCCCCCCCGCCTATCTAATAGCGTCGTGCTTACGATTTTATAGACTCTTTTTTTATGAGCTTAGGGCATGTCTAACCTGTGTAATAATCCGGGGCTTGGGTGAATCACCGAGACACCGAGCTCTCTCCTTCCTCGCTGATGATTCTGACATGCTTGCGTTTAAGACGCTGCATCATCACCGTAGCACGCCCATGCCATGCTAAGTCTGACCTACAAACGTTGCAGGTAACGAATGTCGTCGCCTGATTTAACTGAAAATGCTCCCAAACTTTAGAAGATTTTACTTTTTTGGGTCTCGCTGCTTCTGCCATGTTTCCCTTCCAAACACCTGCCGGCGGTCTGCGCGCAACGGCGGGCGGGCGGGAGGGGAGGGGGCTTCAGAAAGAGTTGTGCAACACAACGAATCGATGACGCAATTCGTTGCCAACGCTTTTAGTAATCGATTTTCATCGAATTTATCGATTTGTTGTTGCAGCCCTACAAGTGACATCAACGTCATAGCACACACGAAACAGCAACAGCAAGCAACGACATGGCTACCAGTGAGAATGGGAAGTTTGTACCTAAGAAGGGACTAAAATCATGTGTTTGGAGCTGGTGTGGGTTTGCAGCGACAGACATGAAGCAAGAGACTTCACGCTGCAACATTTGCCTAAAGCCCATCGCAGTCAAAGGCAGCAGCACCACAATCCTATTCCAACTCCTGTGACAGAGGCATCCAGCCGAATATGAAAAGTGCCAGTCTCTCCGACCAACAAACTTTAGCTAAAAAACAGCTAACTGTAGCCGAATCCTTTGCAAAGGCACAGCAAATGACAGAAAAGGGCCACGGTGGACAACATTCATCGACGCGGCAGCTTTGCACATAGCCAAAGACACACTTTTGTTTAAATAAAAGCAACGTTTGCTCTAAGTTGTCTTCCGTTTGTATTTATTACTTTTGCTAACTCATTCACTGACATTGATGACTAAAGTTATCATTTTAAATTCAACCATTCACTGCCAGAGTCGTCATTTGCTTTTTTTTTTTTACTGTGTGGGCATGGGAACGAGCCCCCGCACCGTGAGAACAAACATCTCGGCTCTAAAGCCGATCTTCATCCGCATACGTCACACGTCACGTGATCAGGAAGCAGAAAATCCATGTGTTAGGAGATCGTTTTGGGTCGCTGCTGTAAAAAAAGTGAGGCGCGAACCGGAAAAGCTTCTGCCGATCACAATTTGACAACGGATTATGAAAGAACGGATAAAACTCAAAACGCGTGGATTCTTCCTGATGTAAGAGGTGAGTCTCCGCTTTATTTTGGTTGTTTTGGCGTCGACATCATCCTAGCGCGCAACGTTCTGTGACTCTTAAAAAAACAGTAAATACTGTGAGAAACGCTGGCAGCGAAGGGCTTTACCGATCAGGAAACGGCTGGCAGCGAATGAGTTAATAATTAGGGGGAAATAGGAAAAACAATTGCCAATGTAATAAAAAAAATCTTCCAATTTAATTTTTAGGCCATATCGCCTGCCCTACACTGCAATAATGGCAGGATGCACAAGAAAAATGCAACGCCCTCTGCTGTCCTGCTGGAGCATTGCTACACAACACTGACACCCAGCAGAGAAGTATAAATGGAAAATGTCTCGTCAATGCGCTTGCGTGTGAGCACAAACGTGCTGACAGACATATAATCTAGGCTTTACTCTACTTTTCCCACACAGAACGTCTCACATGGTGTTCATTTACTCTAGAGTCCACTATTGAAAAAACAAGTGGTCACCTTTAAAGCTCTTTATATGAAAACTGCATATATATATATATAATTTTTTAATGAATTTGAACAATTTTTTTTCTCTCAATAGTCTCAAAGATGAAAAAATCTTTACATTTTTGACTTGGAAAAAATGTCATCTGCACATCATTAATCTTTCACATTGTTGATATTTTTTGCAGTATCTGCACAGAGTTGACGTAGCCATCATGCAGCTTTGCTGAAACGAAAAAAACATTAAAGCCTGAAGGCTTTCTCTTGGCCCATGTGGCTTTAGTTAGATCCTTAAGTTTCTGATGGATTAGTGTGGATCTTCTAGAATATGCAAGAGCACTAGCTTATCCCAACATATTTTATGAATGGTGCATTTTTCTCAGTGTTTCTGGGGGATAGGGCTCTTCTGTTTGGCATTACATAAAATATTCATTGTTATCTGCTTTTGCCATCAGTTACTAAGACAGAGTGTACCACTCATGGTCGTTCAGTTTCTCATACACTCTCACTGTGCTGCAGGCTTCTGGGATGAACAATCCGAGCATTGTGTGTTCATTTTTATGCAAGAATATATTTAATTAGTAATGAATGCACTCATTCTGGTATAGTGTTGATATTTGGTTATTGATTTAGAATTCACTCTGAGATACTTTATGAGGAGCACTCTTAGTCTGCAGGAGGCATTTAAGGCAGTGAGGACTTGTTCTGTCTCTAATTAACATATTAATCAGCCAGTTTTCTTTTCGCTCCCAAGCTCAAGTTGTTGTGCATGTAGAGGTAACACATTAAGCACACCTACAGAGGGATTTCTGTTGCTGCTTTAAAAGGTGCTTTGTAGAGGGTTATCACATGATACATATCTGTTGAGACGGCAGGGCTGCAATAACATTTTCCCTCTCGTAACTCATTTCCTTCTTTCTTTTCTCCCACCATGTTTGCTCACAGATCAGCCAGATGCTGGGAAATGAGATAAAGTTTGCAGTGCGAGAGCCCATCGGACTGAGGTGAGATTTTCGTTAATAGAGCAGGCCGTGTGAAGTCATCTGTGGACTTCACTGCCAGTAAAGTTGAACATCTAGTAAACCTCAGCTGAACAAATGTGCCAGCCTGTGGAAAATAAGCCATGCGATGGTTTTTTTTCTACTTAGGATGTGGATACTCATCTCTGCTGTGGGCTTCACAGTAATGGCTCTAATGGTAAGTCTTCTAATTTATAGACAAAGTTTCAACTTCACTTAATGTCTCTATCCGTGAAATATGTACAAATATACCAAGAAACTGTTCCTTTCAGAAAATGGAAGGTGCAGTTTCCTAAATCAGATTTGCACTCACTCTGGATTCTTTCATAATTTACCAGCAATCGTTATTTGGAGAAACAGCTCCGTCTTTGTCCGCTCTGCTATCAAATTCTCAATATCCTCAGTGTTCTGGGCGCACACAGCGACACCAGATCCCAAATCGGAGGACTTAAGGAAGGATAGAATGCCGTTGTGTTGAAATGACGGAGCTGTGTTGTGCTTTTGCTCTCCCAAACAGGCTCTGGTGTTTCCCAACCAGCTCTATGAGCTCGTTTTTGAGGACGTGCTCTCCACGACGAGCGTCTCCGTTCGCCTTTATGGAGCAGCCCTACTCAGTAAGTCTCTGTCCTCAAACGCAAGAAAGGCATCCAGAAAGGTCTCCATGCTCCCATCATGCATCCCTACACACACTGAATGCTTTCACCACATTGGCACATGATGTTTTTACATGTATTTATATCTGTGCTAAAAATATCTACGCTGCTCAACTGCATGTGATCTCCTGCAATACTGGCTTCCAATGCAGACGCTCTCATTCAGGAACGGCATAAAGAAGCCCCTCTTTCTGCTTTAAGAACGCTCCATAAACAGAGCTTGTTTAATCTGATGCACTTCTGTGTATGTGCAGTTTTCTACAAAGGCATGCTACAGGCACAGAGAGCAATTCAAAGCTCCAGTCGCCTCCTGTCTCTGTGGCCTCGTATATCAGGTTTAGTTCTGGCGGAACTCAGATGGCACGACACTGTGTGGATTGGATGTGTGACATGGCTTGAATCTCCAGGAGGGGGAGATCTTCAGCGCTCCGTTTCTATTTTACAGCTCGCTCTCTCCAAATGCCACAAATGTGCCACGTCGCTCACATGTGATAAGACGGTGGTTATAAATACCTCTGGGAATTGTAGCATTTGTTTTCTGCTTCCCTCTGACGGAGTGTGTATTGTGGAGATAGTGGCAATCACTTTAACGGCCTTAATTTGTGACAGCACAGTCAGCAGGGGATTAGGTGGCTGTGATGGCTTTGTGAAGCGACTCCCTGTGATGAAGGGGCAGGTTGTGTCAGATGGAAGCGATCAAACATTTCAAATCGGCCACATCGTCACTTCTCTTGCGCCAGGACATGAAATGTCTCAGAATTGCAGTGAAGACGACAAAACCCTCCATATTCTGTCATCTAGCATGTGCATTTCCTTGCTTTAGTGGTAATCTAGAGGAAGCAAATAGAAAATGATGGGATTAATGAAGCAGCTTTAAGCTTCATGAGGCCAACGGAAGCCACGCGTCATTATTATGAATGTCATCACCAGAGCTTGAGGATTAGCAAAGATGGAAGGTGATGCCTTACGAGACGAGGTGCAGCAGTGGGGGTGAAGGATGTAGTCTCATCTGCTACACAGATGGATCCTGGCAGGGAGAGAATGCAGTCCATCAGCCCCCCCGCGCTCTGCCCACCCTTATTGCTCCCAACGCCTCACTGGTCTCGAGAGGAGAGCAGCACGGGAACAAGGATTGAGGGAGCAGAATTGGATCAAATTAGAAATATTTAATAATGATTAGTTATTTTTTGGGCTAAACTAAGGATCGTTCATCCTGCAGATTCCTTCTGCTGCTGGATTTTTTGTAGTTGATGAATGAAAATGTTCTTTTTTTTAAGATGTGGATCTTTTCTCTGTTTTGGTTCCTTTGCTTCTGAACATTTAAACTATAAATTCTCTTTTATGATATATTTTCATCTAGGCCTGGCCCTCATTATGTGGAACGGTCTGTACACAGCAGAAAAGGTCATCATCCAGTGGACCCTTCTCAGTGAAGCCTGCTACTTTGCTGTCCAGTTTCTAGGTGATTAGGAGCCTTTCTCTTTATTAGTTATGATTTAGTCCTCCGTTATGTCATCGTGTGACTCATTGCTTCAAAATCCCTTTTTTCTTATCTTACTGTGATAATCAAGAGTTAAAACGAACATACTTGACCATCGGAACAGTTTTTCCAGTATGGATATGGAGATGGCGCCCTCTTGTGTTTAGTATGTTGAGTCACAACAACAAGTTGAGGCCTAAAAAAAAAAATAGACTGATCATGTTTTCAAATGCATTTAGCCTAAATACCAATACAAAAAAAATCAATTAGACTTTTCCTAATAAGTCGTATTTTTCAGATTAGGCTGTTTAAACTCCTCAGCAACATGTGTTTCTTTAACTCCGTCTTTTTTATGATTGAGACAAAATAACTTGTTTATTTTTGATGAATTCATTTCACCATACGACATCGAAACGGGTAAAAAAAATGACTCAATGACAATCCAAGCATGCAGATTGTGGCATTTTCCCCCTTAAAAGGCACAAAGTAACTCTGCAAGAGAACAGGTTCAAGCTTCTAACAGAAAACGTTTTCCTGTTTGGAAAACAACGTCATCTGCAAGTGTTGGGTTAGCCCTGTGTTCATTTTTGTTCCGCGTCAGCACCAGATGGATTAAAGAGACGTTCAAAATCGATTAATCACTGTGTGAAATTTCCAGTTGCTATGCTCAGAATTTCAGACGCACCTGGAAGTGGGGCTGAAAGGACTGTTTTAGAAACATTCAGGTCTCTTTTCTTAAGATTTCTTCATGAATGCATTTTGATGCTGCACCTGCTAAAGTTATGGATTTATAATGTCAAGAAATGTGTATAAATTCAAAATATCACAATATATAACAACAAATATCACATGTACACTCAGAAATTGCTGCTTTCTCCAAGTTAAAGATCAGTTAAGAAGGGTTAAAAAGCAAAGTGGAAAAACTGTCCTGTGATCCAAAAAGTACTAGAAACATATTCTTTTTTTATCTTAATTAGTTGCTTTTATATAACTTTGATTTAATTAAAATATTTTTTTGAATTGGCACAAGCTTGACAGATGTTTCCTCAAGACAGTGTTCCTCTGTGACAGGTAAATAAGGGCACGGTGCTAATATTTAAACATGTTTTGTGGTAAATCTGAGGGCAATTTTTTTAACGATGCACACGTTTTGTGGTAATTTAGTACAAGGAAGTGTGTTTAGTTTTAACTTAAAAACAAAGCGTGATCATGTCTGATGTTTCAGTGACGTCCATCACCTTAATTGAGATCGGCATCCTGCCCAACGCCGCCATGCTCCTGCTCCTCAGCCGGGTGCTGTTCTTCGTTGTCGCCATGGCTTACTACTACCACCTGGGCCGTAAGCCAAAGAAGATCTGAGCGGGCCGTGATGCTTCAGGGAGGGGACGTTTTCTGCACAGGTCACAAACACAAGGGGGGTCAGAAGGGTTGGCCTTGGGTCATTGCTTTGTAAGTGAGTGCCCCCTGCCCCTTGTATGGACCCCAGCCTTAAATACCCCCCCTTCATTTAACAGATGAGCAGTGTCATGTTGCTGACTCTACAACCTGAACAGGAAACCTCATAATGACTCTTAAACTGGGCAGAGATCAAGCCTCTCTCTCCACACACATTCCTGTGTTTAGTTGGGAGTGAGCAGTGTGTAGAGCATCTATTAGTGTGTGTTAAAGGACAAACTACTGCAGCTCCTGACTATGTCACTCATGCACAACAACTTGATTTCCAGACTTGGTATTTAGTGTTTTCCTCTGATAATAGTCCATCTGGTTTCCTCCAGACTTCATGCAGTCATTTATATGACCGGAGGACTCTTGACAGCTTTCAGTGAACACAATATGGAAAACCCATTAGCTGTATACATACAGTGGTGTGTGCTTCAGATCTGATAACAGCTGGATGATTGTAAATCTTTTGCTACAGTTACCGTCTTTTGATTAGCACATGAAAATAAACCCTTTCCCAGTCCTCATTCCTACCCAGACACGTGTTGCATTTGCAGATTCGAGTTCCTCCTACATACATTTTTAAATAAGTCTTGTTAATTCGTGAACCTGTGACGAGAGTCGGCTACTATAAAACTAGTGGAGCATGTCTGTTTATGATAAATACACCTCAGCTGGTGTCTCAGTGATGTAGCACAGAAGGTTACTGTGTGTTTCCTCTTTCTTTTTAAATACACACACCGTTTTCTTAGCCATGCCTTAACGCTACTTTAAGAATCAGTCATGAGCGCTGCATCCTTATTGTAAATATGTAAATAAAGGTATTTAATATCATGTGGTGTTCTTGTGAACCAAACAGGGAACTTGTTCAGTATTAGTTAATGATTATTAATCCTGTGTCTTATTTTGTTCCTATTTGAATGACATGCATGTAGGAAAATTCTCCCTTTAAGAAAAAAAAATCAATGGCACAAACTTGGTATCTATCTGTGACTGAGCAAAAATCAAAGATGGATACATTAAACAAAAATAAGTTCATTTGGGAATTAAAATATGAATTTTTAAAGTTTCTACTCAGTTTGTTCAAGACCTTTTCTACCTCTAAGTATTTGGCAAGCCTTTAGATTAAGACAACCCAGCTGTGATTTGACCTGATTCCTGTCAGAAAACACATCGATGTAAGGACAAGACGAAAACACGCTGCCGTCTCTTCAAAGGTGGTCCGTCTTGTTGGAAGTCACCACCCGGAGTCCTGCCCCAGATGGGAGAGGTCCTCCTGCGGTCGCCGTGATTTCTGGTTGAAGGAAAATGGGCATGTTGTTTGGGGAGTTGGAAACATGGGTGAGGTCTCCTGCACCCCTAAGAAGTAGTAATTACCTTTTCTTTTTTACATCGTTTAATTAGATGCAAGTCTTCCAAGTAACATTGTCCATTTCAGCCTACGGCGCTGCTCTGTGATGACTTGCATAGTAATTATGGAGCTGAAAGGAAAAATGTCTTTCTATTTCCTCAAATGATCAGCCTGGTGAAATGTTCAAAGCTCTGCGAGAAGGGTTATTTTAGGAGAGAGGGGCAATTTTGCATAGGAGAGCAGAGGAAAAGAGGCGAAGAGGCTCTTTCTTCATCGAATGTCGTAAATTTGGGAGAATATTACACTTCTTCTGCTAGAAAGTAGGTCATTCTATCATTTGACGTATACTGCTCTGATTGGCATATCTTGTCATTGTAGCAACGTGTTTTTATGTATCTATGTGGTATATTGTACATGAGCAATGCATTGTGATGGATTTCCATGAATTAGTTTGAAATAAAAAACACTTGTTTATTATTTAACCATTTGAAAGTTGTGAAGACTTCTGTTTTTCATTTATTTATTTATTTCATTTTGGGGGTGGGGTCCTGTCTGATTATTGAATGAATCACATTAATTCCCAGCCCAATTAAGCTAGGAGGGAGCCCTCAGGTACGATCTTCATACCCACATGCCACTCTTTCTCCAAACAAACAGGTTTGTTTTAATGTGTCTCAACAAGAACTGTTTTGTGATTCCAACGTTTGCCCTTTTTTTCAGCGTTTTTAAAAGGAGGTTTAATGTGTCAGGACTTGAAAGGCTAGACAAAGTTCCCACAGTGTGAATTCAATTTCTGCAGCCACATTTTTCACCTTAAATTCTCCCATGTCAGCCTTTTTTTCCCTCTTACACAAACACACTATATGTGGGTCAGTAAATATGTGACTAGTTTTGGTTACTGACGTTCTAAAAGTTCCCTCCCATGTGCTTATGTTCTGCTACACTTTCCTACTAGTTTTTGCGGTCCTTGTGTATTTCTCTGCTGGTAAACAGAACTTTAGAGCTGTTTATTATGGGAGGGGTATCATGGGCTTGTGTGCCAAAGATCTGATGCAAAGTTTTCACTAGTTTATGGAAGGTTGAATTAACATAAATAAAATATCTACAGGCTGGTTTAAATCATTCACAAATGGTGACTCAAAAAAGATCTGGTGCCTAAACTGCAGATGCTTTTTGTAATCTCTAAATTGGTCTGAATATTCTCAATTATTTAAATAATCTAGTAAACCTTTTAAGTAAAAATTTTATAAGTAAAAATCCCACTGATTAGAATAATGATTGAAGATATTTTCCTTCTTGTATAATTTTTAAACAAAAAGACCAACAGTTTGTAGCTCTGATTTTCCAAATGCTTGTGTGTCGAATGACATTTTTAACATCAGTTGAGTCTTTAACGACATTCGGTTATTACTACACTAAATGTGCAGAAGGGTAACTAAAGGCTAATTATTTGGTTTTGTAGCTATTAAAATAGGTCCAAAGTTAACCTTTTAAACGTGCAAAAAGTGGAATCATGTCAACAGAACTGAACCAGATGAAACCAGCTGAACCAAAGATGTAGTTAGCAGGGCGTGAGAGGGTTAATAACAGGAGTAACTCATGTCTGCTTCCGCATGGTGGGAGTGTACACACACACACACACACACACACACACACCCGTCAGATCCTGAAGTTGGCTTATGATTTAAAAAAAACAGTCTTGACTTTCCAGTCAAGTTTTGCAGTCAGCCATCTAGTTCAAAAACAAAGATACAGCATAAACCTATAAAGTTAATTATTCTAAACTAATGAAAAAATCTTTAAAATACAGTTTGTGACCAGAGAAATCTTTGTTTTTTATGTGTGAAAGTTTAGAAGAAGCAATCTTTGATACAGCACCTCTCAAGATAAAAATCAAGAGGTGCTTCACAAAAACAATTATAAGTAAATAAAAATTATTACAAAAAGATAAAAAACATCCAAATCAATGAGAAAAGTAAAACATTGTGATAAAAATGTGAGGAAAAGGTAGAAAGAGCAGAATAAGGAGAGGGTGGTGATGAAGGTCACACCAAAGCCAGCTTGAACAGTTTTCAGCTGATTTTAAAAGAGACCACCGAGCCCACTGATCTCAGGGGGAGAGAGTCACCTTCGGGCTTTAGCCTGGTGTAACCAGTAGATTTTGGTGTTTTGGTTTTTTCCTGTATTTTATTTATTTATTTTTGCAACTAAATTAGTGTGCATTTAATGATGGCTATTGAAACACATTTTGCAAAGTAACCCCTTCATTCTATGTTTGAAAGTTCAAAAGAGCACATGCTAGTTAGCGGTATTCTGGCACCTCTTTAAGCCACCTCAGGTCATGCAGTGTTTAAACAATGTTTGTTGAACGTTCACAAAGAGAACAATCATAAAATGTGTTTCATGGATTTTTATTCTAATGTAGAATTATCTAGTCCCGCATGTAACAGTTGAAGTGTTGCGTTTTCTTGAACCAGAATTGATCCAATGGTCCAGATGGTAGAAATTTAGTGCACTGTCTCTTTAACCGGATAGCGAATGAGAAGCCATCTTCGGCGTCATCCACTCCACGAGCCACGGACACAAACCGTTTCTGTCAGCAGACTCAAAAGTTTCACAGCGAGCAGGAGGTCCATCAGCTCTTCTCTAAACGGTCTAAGGACTTCAGGAGACCATCTCAAAGTAAGTCTAGATCTTTTTCTAGCTGAAATCCACCTCCTCTTTGACATGTGGACGACTTTTGTCGCTTACTGTATTTCATTGTATTTTTATTTATTGTATTTTTAATAAAGTGTTCTTACCACCTGATGTTGACGTGACACATTAACAGCTGGTTATTAGCGCCGTTAGTTAGGTCTAGCTGAAAATAGATTATTTATCTCAGACTTTTCTTCTACGGGAGATTTCAGTGAGTAAAACATAAAAACATATGCTTTTAATAAGAACCGGATAAATTAGACGGATTTAATTTAACGCACGTCTGAAAATGTGAGCAGTGGCGTAGCAGTGAAATCTGGGGTCAGGACTTGTGGGCAGCCCTTGTATCACATAAAAGACAAAATTATATCCTTTGGTGATAACCTGCTTATACACACACACACACACACACACACATATATATATATATATATATATATATATATGAGAGAGAGCGAGCAAGAGAGATAACTCAACTTGCATGCTGGTGGTGGTCGGAGGTGGTGCCAGTGTTTGGCAGCCTAGCTTTTCTCATTGCGTCCCACCCCCCAGGGCTACATTGTAGCTCATCACCACCACTGTGTGAATGTGCGTGGGTGAATGACTTATTATGCTGTAAAGCACCTTGGGGGGGTTTATAAAACCCTTGAAGGTGCTATATCAGATACAGGCCATTTAGCATTAATTTACCATTAAAACGCCACGTTTTACGTCACACAGCCACTCATAATACACGCCTTCAATGGCATAAAATATGGCGTTCTTTGACAGAATAACACGTCTTTATTATTTTTTTTATGAGAATGGCTCTGGGTGCCTTTTGGCACTGACCAGTGATGTACTAACTCAAAAACGGTTGCAATATGCTGACGTCTTACTAAAGTTCCTAAAGGGTTTTGTATTGAGACAACGACTGAGAGGACCAAGACGATGTACGTACTTTCCCTGTGGCCTTTTCTCACCCTTCAGAAATTTCCAAGAACTCTTATCACAGAAGCACAGCTACTGATAATTAAGAGTCTTTTGATATGAGTTATTAAGCATTTGCAAGCTAATGTGACTTTTGGTTTAATGCAAGTAGCTTGAGAACATTTTTGTTTCTGTAAATTGGGGTCAGATGGCTTTCTGTCAGTGTAATGTGCTCAGTATGTCTGATTCCCTCAGTAACATCAAAACATGCTGGTTGGTTCTCATGAACTGTTGCCCAGTGTCCTCGATGCTGCTTCATTCACCAAGTGTCTGTTTCTAAGTTTACTTATCTAACATTAATGTTTTTCCAGATTAAGCTTGCTGGTCTATCACCTAAATAGCTTTGTCTATATAATAGACACATAATACTTTTCTTAATTGTATCAGCACATAAACATATTTAGAGAAGACTTTTTCCCATCTCACTGATGCTTAAATTAAGTAGTTTGCTCATTTCAGAGCAGGGAGGCTCCTCCATAAACTCTAGATTAAAAGCTGTTTTCGTTCCACACTTTGGATCATCCTCCCCACATGAAATCACACTGGTGACGAATTACAGAGCAATTCATTACTATGCAAACTAATGAAGGCAATAATTTGCTATTTTTAGACTAGCAGAATTGGTCGCCAATGTTTTTATTTAAAATGGGTGTAGAGGAGAGTGCACTGTTACCAGCTTTCACAATGCTGCAGAAAGATGCTTTTAATTTTTTCTAGACTTTTATTTTGATACACTCCGAATAGATTAGAGCAACGAAACTAAACAAAGTAAAGATACAAATGTCAAGTTGAACCTGTGTATTATTTTATTAAAATTATTATATTTTAAAGAGACATTATGTAGTTTTTACTGTTCATATCTGGAAATATCCACCGAAACATTGTTGAAATTAAAATAAAATGATGTCCAGTTGTTGAAAAATATTGGTGACTTTGTACCATAAAACTAGTGCTGCCACCATTGGCTGATTCGTCACGAAGACATTGACAAGCAAAATAGTCAACTATAAATGTAATAGTCAACGTTGTTTATTCTATGAGCATTTTTTAAATATTGCTTGTTGTGCCACATTTGGTGGCTGCTTTCTTCCTTTTGGCTCAAGGCACATGCGCAGTAGTGAGCATCCAGATCAGGCTTTCAGTCAGAATCACCGGAGAAAGAAGACAACATGGCGAGTTTGCAACATAGCTCAAAAGTTTTGAGCATTTTATGAAGGCAAAAGAAAAGCGCGTACAGTACTAAATCTGCAAAGTGAAACTTCTCGTGTTAGCAGCTAACGTCAACAGAGAGTCACGTGTATTCATAGGTGGAGCAACAACAGTAGTGATTATATTACCTTTAGAACATGTATGAACGTCACGTATTTGCTCTAACGTTACAAACGCTAATGATTTATTTTATCCTGCTACGTTACAGTTGAAATTATGGTGATACAATACATATCACAATACAGGGGAGAAGATACAATATATCACAATATATTGCGATACATTCAGACGATGTTAGCGATTTTTTTTGACTGAATTTATTATAGGAAAATTCAATAAACAGTCCAGACGGATACTTAGCATGTTTAACATGAGGTATCTAAACTATAATTGAAGGATTTGTATTTTATTGGTGGAAGCAAAACCCATTGCTCACTGCTGCCAACTAGCGGTCGGCATTTTAATTGCACCAAGAGAAAAATAAGACAAAAACACTAATGTTTGCATGTAAATTCTTCCAAAAACTATACACTACTTTTAAATATTGATATGTTTCTGGAAAAATACATCACGATATATTGCAATATCGATATTTTTGATACACGACTTTAGAATATTGATATAATATCGCTGGGAAAAAATATCACGATATATTAACATGTCGATATTTTCTTACATTCCTAGTTACAGTGGTTAAAAATGTTCCTTCTCTTCAATGTACGAGTTTGTTACAAAGCTAAAACTTAATATTTTAGTTGGATACATTTGTGAGCATAAGTCCTTTTTGTGTACAATTTTTGGTTTTAGGTGCCTACCTTGACTGTATTAACAGGTTACTAAGTTTTATTAAATGTTTATTAAAAGTTGTTTAATAAGCTATCATCTTGTCTTTTATTAGATAGCACATAACTGATCACAATTCAAACTAGAAAGCTAACGATGGGTATATTATAGCATCTTGGCAATAAGTTACACTTTTTTTGCATGACATGATTAGTCAACTAATCATCAACAAAACTGGTGGTTAATCAACTACTAAAATAGACGTTTGTGTCAGCCCAATATGTAACCATAAAAGGCGGGTCTAAAGTAGGGCGTGAGTCTATCATTTTTGGGGGATGCCATATTAGCCACCAGGTTTCTTTCTGGCCAGCTCGTGGGTGAAGCGCCTGTCTATGATATCATGCCAGATGATTGATGGATGACTTACGGAAGTTACGTTACCATGTTCAAAAACATTTATGTAGTAAGATACACGAAATTAATAAAACTGCTAAACTCTTTTCAAAACGTTTTTTGAAAGAACTAAATCTAAAAAAGATGCTAAATAGTTTTTGCCGAGCGGTATTGTCGTAATATGATGTCAGCTTTTTGCTTTGGCCCTAATCTCACAACCTCTTCTTTTAACTCAACTGGGAGTCAACAACAACCGAGCTGCACACTGATGCAACACTCGGTTACCACACTGCTTTTGCACAAAGGTTTGGTAACAAGCAGATATGATGCAATAATCTGTGTAGCTCGTAGTACTGGTGCTTCATCATTTCCAAAGACAGGTCTCAGTCATATCTGTTATGCAGTGTGTCCTGTAAATGCTAAATGGGGAAGGCCCTCCTTCACACTTGGTGACTCAACTGAAACATCATGTAAACCAGGAACATCCCATGATGCTGTTTTTTAGCATCAAATGCTCACCAGGCTCTCAGAAAGCTAAATGCATTTTCAACAGGTTTTAGAAACACCAGGTCCATGTCCTCACAGATGTGTAAAGGGGTCATACTGTGTTTAAATATTAAGGGAAGCTTGTAGATGGATGTTGGATCACTGCCCATCTTTTAGTGTTAACCGCTTTGTGCTGTAATAAATCCACGCTGCTTCCTTTACAGACATATATGCTGCCATCTGCCACTCATGCTGCCTTTATTTCTGCTCTTCAGCTGGCTATCTGCTCATTCACCACACACTTCTTTCAGTTTCACTCTTTATTTATTTTTGTTATTCCCAAATTCTCAAACTCTTGGCAGCTTTTTTTTCTTCCAAACTGCAGCTAGGGGGACATTCAAGAAAAAGATTAAAACACAGCGTTTGTGAGGTTGGAGAGTTTGAAAGCTTCAGGTGACTCATTCAGATAGTTTGTTTTAATGTAACTTCTGCTTTGGTTCTTTTCTCTGCAGACGTCCTATTTCACATAAACAGTCTTGTTTAAATATCTGAATTTCAGCAACTGTTTGTCACCGCCTGCAGCCAGAAGGCAAAATGCAGGCAATAATGTTCCTTTGTGAGTCTGAGTGTGTGGAAAACCTCTCTGACAGTTTTATGTGCATCTACAACTACTTCCCACAGTGAAATCAAATCAAGATGGTCTTCACAGCTAACCAACTCCAGGAAGCACCAAGCTGGCTGTAAATTAGTCAACTTTGAGCTTCTGATCTAACATTTTATTGTGGTAAAACTTACTCAGAGGGGTACAAATAACACACCATTTGTTCAAAAAGGCTGAAACTGCACAATTTCTCAAATGGATTAGTCCTTTTATTTGCACTTTTTAACGTTTATTTTGGTTTCTGTACCGATTTTGGGTGTGGCCTCCAGGAATCTAGAATGATTGAGTTTGCCCGTGAAGTTGTGACAGGATGGACCTCTTTTCTTTTTCGACTAGGACTTTTTTCTTATCTTTTGGGGTCAAGCAGGAGAGAAAAATGTTTGGATATTTGGTCTAAACAGTATGAGCAGACTGACCAGCAACTGAAAACAACTTCTGTTAAATGCACGAAACTCGCCACGTTGTAGCCCTCAGACATTATTCATGCTCCTGTAATGGAAACACAGCTACTTGTTCAGTTTTTTTCTGTTTAAGAACATAAATCAGCTGTTTTTGGTACTTGTATTAATGTGTTGCCAAACAAAAGTTAAAAAGTGTCACTGAGACGTTGTTTAAAACTGGTTTGCTATCTCTGGAGCTAAGTCAGCAGACAATAGTTATCATAGCTAAGCCTTTTTATAATCCTCATTACTACTCTTCAACTAGACAGCAATCCACTTTGAGGATTATCTACTGCAGGCGTATCTGCTGAGTGGTTTGGGCTTTGCACTGCTTGCTTTTGTAAACAGGAAATTATGTTTGGATTTAGGTCAATAGGTGCTTTTAATAGATGGATAATAAGAGTTATCATAATGCCAAATAATAAAGAGGTGATTTAGGTGTTCTAAGTCACGGTGGGTCACAAGAACCATTTATTTAAAGTTTTTGTATTATTTTAGTCAGCCCATGTGCTCCTGCTAATGTTCCTGGTAGTTAACTGTACTGAGTTCAGATGTAAATTTATCACACACACAAAAAAAAAAACTTTAATATATACATGTATAAAGGAAAATGTGAGAATAAAGATAAGATGGCATGTATTTATTAAATGGTGTTCAATAAAATAAACCTTTACACGGTTAGGATGTAAACGTTTTGCAGCCTTGTTAATCTTCCTCATTTTCCTTTATAAACAGTAGGTTGGTTTGAAAAAAAATATTTCAGTTAAATATATCTTATAGAAGAAACACAGTGACAGTAGAGAACTGAAACTACATTTATAGGGTTTGTAGAAAGTGTGCAATAATTGTTTAAACAAAATTAGGCTGGTGCATAAATTTGGGCACCACCAAAAAGAAATAACTCAATATTTAGTAGATCCCTCTTTTGCAGAAATAACAGCCTCTGAACACTTCCTATAGCTTCCACTGAGAGTCTGGATCCTGGCTGAAGGTGTTTTAAACCATTCTTCTTTACAAAACATCTCTAGTTCATTCAGGTTTGATGCTTCTGAGCATGGACAGCTCTCTTTAAATCACCACAGATTTTCAATAATATTCAGGTCTAGGGACTGAGATGGGACTGGTTGTGGTCGGAGGGACCGGCAACGCCCGTGCTCGGCAGCATCGCCTCCGTCAGTGCGCCCCAGGGCAGCTGTGGCCACAAAGTAGATCATCCCCACAAGAGTGTGAATGTGTGTGTGTGAATGACTGATTGTGTTGTAAAGTGCCTTGGGGGGGTTCCAGGACTCTAGAAGGTGCTATATCAATTACAGGCCATTTACCATTTAGTTGAACGATGCACAGTAGGGCTTGGCACAATGGCCTAAAATATATCACAATATATCGAGGATTTCACCTTGATAACGATAAATGGACGATAACTACAGGTATGTACTAGATGGGGCTGTCACATGTGTTACGTTATGTCAAATTTTTATGTGACTTTTGGTGGTACAGCTTCTTAAAGGGATGATTGTTGCCAACCTACACACGTCTTTTCATTCATTTATTATCACATTTATCGATGAGTCAGAAATTTCGATAACGATAAATTTTGTATTTATTGCCCAGCCCAAATGCACAGTGACTCCATCTGCAGCAAGATGATGTAGGTCTTTAGTGCTGGTCTGTGGGTTGACTCTGACTGTTCTCACCATTCTTCACTTCTGTTTATCTGAGATTTTTCTTGGTCTGCCACTTTGAGCCTCAACTAGAACTGTGCATGTGGTCTTCCATTTCCTCATGATGTTCCTAACTGTGTAAACAGACAGCTGAAATCTCTGAGACAGCTTTCTGTGTTCTCCCCTAAACCATGATGATGAACAATCTTTGTTTTCAGCTCATGTGAGAGTTGTTGTGAGACCTTGATGTTGCTGCTCTTCAGAAAACATTTAAAGAGGAGGGAAACTTACAATTAGCCCCCTTAAATACTGTTTCTCATGACTGGATTCACCTGTGTATGGAGGTCAAGGGTCATTGAGCTTACCAAACCAATTTAGAATTCCAATGATTAGTTCTAAATGTTTTGTAATCAATAAAATAACAGTGTCCAAATGTATGCACCTGCCTAATTTTGTTTAAGTAATTATTGCACACTGTCTGTAAGTCCTATAAACTTTGTTTCGCTTCTCAAATATCCCTATGTGTGTCTCCTATATGAAATATTTATCTGAACTTTTTATTGTAACAACCAATGATTTATAAAGGAAAATCATGACGATTAACTAGGCTGCAAAACTTTTACATCCGACTGTGAAAACAGAGAAAGTTCTTAGATATAACTTTCTCAAATAGAAAGTTAAAAATCCTAGGTTTTGGGGCAGGACAGAGCAGCTTGTCATCTGATACACAGGGAGTTGTCTTCATTTGGTATTTTTAAACTTCAGATAGCCACAATGGATGGTTATAATTTGGGGTGCTCCCAGTGAAGGACAAGGCTCAGTAGTGGACGTTCAGTCTGAATCTTAGTGCCCGGAGGGGTTTCTTCAAAAGTGCAGAGTGTTTCTGACTTCAGAGGTTTTCTGGAAGGAAGACATTCATCTCAGAAAAGTTAGTGAAAGCCTCCACATTAATAGGAAACGCAGCTTGAGCGTAAACTGATGTTAGCTAACAGTCAGCTGCTGGCCATCTGTTTCACAACTCATTGTGTTTTATTTATAACTGGCCTGTGTCATTAGACAAATATACTGTGTTACTCTACATCTGTAATGGATGGTTTTTGGGTTGTCATTATGAGATCATAACATCTCTCTGTACTGATTCTTCCTCCACTGTTTTAAACCAGCATGGCCACTCTTTTTAGCTTTTAATAATTGCCATCAAACATGATCTACCAAAGCGACAGGGCAACGGTTTCCTCCTAAAAGTGTGACTCAGAGGAGGTTCAGACAAGAGACGCTGTTGCAAATGGTTTGTGCCAATGTTTTGTCTCTGAAGATAATAGTTGTGTTTAATTACATGTCTGACTGCAGATTTCCCTGTGACATTGTTAAAGGTTCTCCCACACTGTGTGGTGTGGTCTTTTTTTGAGTCTTGATTTGTTTTTCTCTCTTAGGCTCAGATCTCACTTCAGTGTAACCCAGCAGAAACACAGAGCCATGGGGAACGGATGCGTCACAGTCATCAAGTACTTTCTATTCCTCTTCAACCTTCTCTTTTTTGTAAGTATGGTCTGCCATTGTTCACGTGTTGGCAAAGTTCGTGTTAATGTGACTTTCACTTTCTCTGCAGATTTGTTTAGCTGATGCAGAGAGAGATAACGATGTTCCTGAACCTAACCGCCGACACACTAAGACTGCTTTGCGTGGCACTATAAACTGTGGTCTGAGGCTTTGACAAGCCTGTTTATCATACGATAGACAAGCAGCTATCCAAAGATGTAATTATTTATTACTGATGCACCGATATGACATTTTTGGGCTGATATTAATATCACTGTTGTGGCCGATAACCGATATTTGCCGATATCGATAAACTGACATTATTGCTACTAAAAATCTGCAGATTTTGTATAGAATGAAAACTATTAAAGCTGGATTTTCGTTATTGTTTACACACTCCATACACATTTACGCTTCTGAGATGATTACAATCACTGTCACATGACTAAACAAATACACATCACACCTCACCCTCTGAAACAGACAAACAAATGGAAACAAGATGGCCCAGTTGTATTTATCGGACCAATACCGATATGTTTAAAAATGACTAACATCGGCCGATACCGATATTCAATTCAATTCAAGTTTATTTATAAAGCGCCAAATCACGACGTGAAGTGCCTCGTCTCAAGGCACTTCACATAATAAACATTCCAATTCACAGTTCATTGATGCAGATATATTGTGCATCCCTATTATTTATTCTTTTTTTTTTCAGGATAACCTGCCTGGTTGTTTGTCTTATAGTGCATAACATTTTAGTCATTTTCATCATGAAAGTTACAACATTTTAATTTGTGTTGTTGAACACATCATCGTTACTGACTATTCATGTTGTTAAGGTAGTAAACTGTCATGTTTTAGTCCTTTCTAAATTTTCTTTTGTTTGTTTTTCTTAATTCAGGCTCTGAAATCACTCTTAACCAGATATGTTTAGAGACCTATGAACTTATGTGTGTTGTACACATAAGGGCCTAAGGGCTGCGACTAGACTCAGAATCTGGGGTTACAATACGTAACCAACGTTTTTTAAACTGCAGAACCTCCGGGTAGGGCTGGGTGATATGGACCAAAACTTAAGTCTAGATATTTTTTTTGCTGAACTCAGAAATACAAAATGTATTTCAATATTTTTATTCCTGGGAACTATTTACAAGTCAGCTCCCTTCAAATAGTATGCATAAATTCATCAGCAGATTAAATGCATTGGTATTGTATTTATTCTGTTTATTCTGCTATTGTCAAACATTGCTGAAACATGAACAAACATCCACAAAATAAATCTAAACCACAAGCCAAGTGCAAAGTTTAGGGAAGAACATTAACCAAGAGATTTTTTATAAATCTACAAAACAACTTTCCTGATTGAGCGGACGCGTGGGGGCACATGAAGTGATCATTTAGATACAGAGATGCAGCAAGCTAGCGGTAGCGATTCCTGCTAACAGCAGTAATTCGCCGGTTGAATTTTTACATCGTTTTAAAAGCTACTGGATTTTGTTTCTAGTTTGACATTATATCGACACTTTAAAAACATCCAGGTTTTGCCCAGCTCTACTTCCGGGGTATTTTACCAGACCTTCACAGTTTGTACATCTCTCCATTTCACCGGGCCACCCCAACAGGACCAATTTTCTGGGCCATTTCAGGAACCAAACAAGTACCTTCTTTGGTGAATGTTGTCAGAAAATGGCCTGATAGAGACGCTAGGCAGGACTTGTGGTTAACTCATTCTGATTGGTTGTAACTCAGTTGGAAAGGTTATAAAGCAAACGTCGCCAGACAAACATTAAATTGGAAGAGTGGCAAGCAAAGCAGAATGGAAGGAAAAGAAAATAAGAAAGCTTTTATTAAAGGCTTCATTAACCGCTACCATCGCTGTTTGTAACTAAATGGCAAGCAGAGATGTGGCAACCAGCCCTTCTTCTTACATTGTTGATCTCTTGTTGTTCTCTGCTGCTGGGGGTGCCTTTTGGCACCGATCGGTGACGTCCCTCACTGCAGAAACAATCGCGACATGCTGACATCTTAGCAAACTCCTTAAAGAGCAACTTAATATGGAAGCAAAACGGTGGAGAGGACCAGGCCAAAGTATTCTCCCTGTCACTTCCTCCTCCCAGGAAAGTCCCGTAACTCATAAGTGGTTTGGCTAAGTTATTATTTCTATTCAAATTGTGATGGAAATGAGCAGAACTGTAAATGCTGTCATCACTCTGCCCAAAGCGAGAACATTTACAGGTCTGAACAGCAGCAGACGGTTTATGTTTCATCTTCTCTCATCCTGACAACATAAAGTCTAGAGGCTGATAAAACCTCGGGCCTGCCAGGATGTCCAGACTATCCCAATGAGTCTGCAGCTATAAACCTGACACGGAGCTTTTGAAGTGAAAGCCGACCGGGTGTCTAATAGGAAGCGTGTGTGTCTGTGTCAAGTGTTTAAGTTCATGTGGACACATCATGCATATGAAGGCTTTGGAAAGCCAGGAAGTGGTGGGTTAACGATGGTGATTGCCGCCGGGCACTTAGAGTCTTTTAAAAGAGCAGCTCTGAACCAGGGCACTAATTACTCCTGTAACGGGGCAACAATACAAGCAGGAAGCCGTAGAACCAACAGGGCCTCTCATCGAACAATTTAGTTCCCACAACTTGTAAACAAAGGCTCCGTCAATTAAATCAACATTTTCAGCCTCATAACCTCCGTTTAACTGGAAGGAAAGATAAATCCCATCATTCTTCCAGATTTTTGGAATCATTTTTGATCTTTAAATAGATCTTCCTGCCACCCCTGATTGTCTCAACCACTTTATTAATACCTAAAACATCTTAGTTGCTGCTAAAACTCAGTCTTAAATTTATGAAGTTTATAGAGAATGTGTTGTTAGGAGACAGAAACGAGCAGATAGAAAGACAGAGAGGAATCTGATTACTCCCAGATGCGAACACAAGGGAGAGAAAAAATGTCTTTCTGTTTTAGACACACCAGCCCTGAATCTGTGTTTTACTTTCACATACGATCTGATCTGATTTTCTTCTCTTCTTCTCTGCAGATCTTTGGTGCCTTGATTGTGAGCTTTGGACTGTGGGTACTCTTTGATACCCAAAGCTTCATCTCTGTTCTACGTAAGTGTCAAAAAGTTCAGGATGTTTAAGAGCAGTGAGAACATAGAAATTGAAGAATGTGGGGAAAAAAGGCTTAAGTCTCGTCTTACGCGCTGCAGTTTGTGACCGTTTGTATCCCATAGGGTTCATTTTCACTGAACCACGGGGGGGTGTTCATACCGTATCAAAAAGTAATTCACGGATGAAACTTGATGTATTCCTCAGCCCAACTATAGCTGTAGACATGCAGACGTGATGGCAGGAGTGGGTTTAACAGTGGGAGGTTGGAAAGTAGCAGTTTTATTTCCCCTTAGTTTCCACAGAGTTCTGCTTTAAACTTACCCAGATGTCAGAGGTGCTCAGATGTGATCTCCCACTTATACAGATGCTGTTCTTTAGCCGATCAACTTTTAGGGGTGTGATTTTTAGAGAAAACACCCAAAAAATTTAAATAAAAATCACAATTAAACCCTGATCCAGCTTTGCTTAAAAATGGGAACGCTGAATGGAAACTGTTAGTTTCCCCCGCATGTTTTTACAGATGCTTTCAATCCCTAAACACTTTTTTAAAGAATTGTTTTTAGTTTCTTTACTGGTAGTTTTGTAAGTACTGAAACTGAAATCAACATTGTTTAGTCTAACCCATTTCTAAATGAGAGGTTCATGCGATGTACAGAAAACATAATGAGTGGTAATCAAAGCCGGCCTACTCTCTGTGTTTTTCGTCTAAACAAATCTCTCGACACGAACAGTCGTGACGAAAAATGTGAACGTGAGGGAGGTTTGCAGGTCTGTGCACATCCAGTGTGACAGCTTGTTGAGGTCTCTCACAGCCAAACTCAGCCTCCCATCAGTCCTCGGGGCAAGCAGCAACTCCACTCAGCAATTGACCAATGAAAATACACCCAGGAAGTGACGCAAAATCATAGTTCTTTTGCATTCACGAGTACACTTATACATCAGTTGCAGCTTGTTTGTGTGTCATATTCATGTTCAAGTGGGCCTACACTAGCTTTGTCATTACATTAGTGGTGGTCACTAATACAAGTCATTTTCAGTGGGAAATAATGCTCTCCTGTTTCAGGAGAAGTTAATCGGAGGGGGGGGGGGGACGGCAGGATTGGGCATCTTACTTATTAGAGGGGAAGCAATATAGAGCAGGTTGTCCAGTAATCAGAGGGTTGTAGGATCCATCCTGGCAGATTCTGCTCGTGTCTTTGGGCAAGACATCTCACCTGCTGGTGTTGGTCAGAGGGACCTGTGGTGGTCCCTGTGCTCGGCAGCGTCGGTGAGCTGTGGCTCATCACCACCCGGGTGTGAATGTGTGTGTGAATGGATGAATCATTCACTTTAGTGTAAATCGCTCTGGAGTCCTCTGATTCTGAGAGGTATGTACAAGTGCAGGTTAATAATCCTTATCATTAATTTTCATGATATGCAAACGTGCCATCTCTGACGGGCTAACAACAATGCAACTCTTTTACTGCCTTCGTTTGGTCGACCTTCTTAAAATGCAACGTTGATGTTTTATCATCACAAAATAACACAAGCCTGAGCGTGTTCTGCCATGTTCTGGAGATGCTATTGCTAACTGTTAGCTTCTTTTAGCCAAGAGGTGCACTGTTCTCTTCTGGCGGCTAAATTAACACAGCCCTCTGTGGTTGCAAGCCAAGGTGGGTGAGTCCATGAGTGCAAATGTACAGTGTGATGTAGATCTGTCTACCTCAATGTAAATAAAATCATATTATTTATATAATCGGATAACTTAAATATAGCACCAAGTATCTGTGCAGGACAACCTGCTGAGTATGTGCACTGGTGTTATGGTGCATTTGATCTTAGGAGGCAGAAATTAACTGACACAGTTAATTACAAGTTGTTCATAACTTCTGGTTTCTGTTGTGGTTACGCTCATTTGAGTTTTTAAGTGCAATTTTAATGAGCTTTGACTCCTTTAGATGTTAGACTTTCTTCAGTTTTGTCAGAAAATAAAGTCGATGCTACCTACCAGTCACGTTGGTGGACTAGTTCTCTAAAGGTAGCGTTTGCAATAGTGATGCACCGATATGAAATATTTGGGCCGATACCAATATACTCACATTAATGCTTCTAAAATCAGCAGATTTTGTATAGAATAAAAATTATTAAAGCTGAATTTACGTTATTATGTACAAACACCACACACATTTACGCTTCTGAGTTGATTACTGGCACATGACCAAACTAATACACAGCACCCCCCCACCCCCACCCCAAAAACACTCAGACAAATAGAGACAAGATGGAAAAAACATCAGTTGTTAATATCGTCCCAATTTTATTTATCAGACTGATACCGATATGTTAAAATATGACTGACATCGGTCGATACCGATATTAATGCCGATGTATTGTCCATCCCTATTATTTATTCTCTTTTTAATGTGGATTTAGAGGTCTGCAGATTTGCAAACTCAGCAGCCATCTACATTTAGTTTGGTCAAATATATGTCTTACTTCTGCCTTGTGAGCACATCCTGCTGCTAAGCTGACCTTCTGCATGCTGCAACTATAGAAGACCGTTTTATCAAAACTAAACATGTACTATAGATGAGCTGTCTGATTGGCTATGGTACTGCCGTCATTAACCCTTTGAACTTGGCTGATAATAGTAACAGTTCAGTGCTTTGTGGGCCAGATGGGGAAAGCACTGGCCAAATTTGGCCCAAGAGCCAGCAGTTGACAAATTGAACTAGATAATTATTTATTTGATATTATTTTTTCAAGACTGATGCTTTCTGAAAATACCAGGGTTTCTAAAGCAGATCTTCTTTTCTGTAGCTGAGGACCATCATTTTGTAAAAGTGAAAATGAAAATTACTCCAATAAGCCGACTTTGCTCATTTGTAGTTTAGCCTTCAGAAAATAAAACAGAATGTCGCCTTCCCTGCTATCCCCAAGTCTATTGTTGTAATAGTCCAGCTGTTGGCCCACAGATGTTATGATTAAGTCAGGATATCCCTCCTCTGTGGGTCCTGCTCGTGTTTCTGTGGCTTTAACTTAGCGAGGGTCAGCCTTGATTCTAATGTTAAATCTGCCACTGTGTGGAGGAAGACAAGTTAGAAGCAGTTCTGTTTATTGACTCAGAGTGTTACCCCTGAAAACATCTCCACCACTGCCTGCATATAAACAGGATCTCACTGTTTCCATTCTTCGTGTGTTCTATTAGCAGAGGCCTTCGCAGCTGTCCAAGTGACCTCAAGCTGGAAAAATGTGCAAACGCTGTGGTTTCAGCCCCCCTTATTTTTTATTTTAAAAGAACATCTCCTCCTCAATGTAAAGTCCCTTTTGACGCTGTGTTTTATTTCAGTGACGTGATAAATTCTAGTTTATCTTGCTGGTTTATACAAAAGTCAGCCTTGGAAAGCAGATCTGTATCCAGAGTGTACCAAAGCACAGTTTCAAAGCTTTTACAATAACCCAAAAAGCTGTAAAAAACAGAAAAGGGAAATATTTTTCTCCTGAACTATTTAAACGTTGCACTAACTGAAAATTTAACAGTCAGTCTACTTGTGTTTACTTTTGAAATCTGGACACTGTGTCAACTGAGGCTTCTCACTGCCTCGGTGTAGGCTAAACATGTGGCTCTAGTTGTGTTTACTGTAGGACAGCCACCCTACTCACACACACACACACACACACACACACACACACACACACACACACACACACACACACACACACTGCAGCCATCTTTAAATGCAAGAAAACTTTAAATGGAACTTTCCATGAAACAAAAACCACTGAAGGAGCCCCTCTGGAGCATCTCTAGTCCTACATGGAAACTCAGTAGAGCAGCCAAGGCAGGCTCACCACTACCTGATAAATGGTTTTTGTTTTTCCACAGAGGAATGGGTGCCTGGTGCTCTGAAACATTCTGTTTTAAATATTGAGTTTTTGAAAGCCCTTTAAGAATGAGCAATACACACAGCTTAATACACAAAACACTTGATTTAATCACAGTGTTAACAGCTAAACTGCTAACATGGATTTGTATAAGTCCCATTTGATTTGCTTTAACAGGAAACACAAACACACATCTTTGTTGTGTAGCTTTATTATTCTTAATGTATTAACCTGTTGTACACAATGTACATTTTAATCTTAAATTGGAAAAAATTAACTTTTTTTCTCCCTCCTTTTAAACTAGAGTTTAATTTATAACCGTAGCTGGATCTTCAGTAGTTTTTCTGCTTTGGTTTAATACTTTCTTTGGTGTAGTTTCATGTACTCAGCAGTCTCTCACTTCCATTTGCATTCCCATTAATCTCCCCCATGTAATTAATGGGTTAAAGAAACCTATGGACATCTGTTGCGTTTGCAGATGCTAGTTGTGGGATGATGTGCGTATGTATTAGAGAAACTGAAATAACACGTTTCAGCAGTGTGCTTCATATAGAGCATGCAGAGTGTGTTTCTGCCTCCCTTAAATACAACCTTGTAGCCACATAAACACTCACCATATGTTGGCTTGCAAACTTTGAGCTTGAAATTATTTTAAAGTTGCCACAACACACACCACTGCAGTAACTCATGTAGTTGGTAAAGCTGATGTGCACATTTAGAAAGTTTAGTGTGTGTGTGTGTGTGTGTGTGTGTGTGTGTGTGTGTGTGTGTGTGTGTGTGTGTGTGTGTGTGTGTGTGTGTGTGTGTGTGTGTGTGTGTGTGTGTGTGTGTGTGTGTGTGTGCGTGCGTGCGTGCGTGTGTGTGTGTGTGTGCAATCATACATATGCACACAGGTGTATTAATCTTAATACATTTATCTATCAAAGTATCTAAATAAGAGTGATCTAGGTGGTCAACAGTAGCAGCAGTTGACTAGCTGATGACGTTTAGAGTTGTAAAAGATGTCAGGGTTGCAGGTTTAAGGGTGTTTTGTGAAGTGTTTCAGTAACATGTTGCTGCAAAGCAGAAGGGTTTGTGGCCACAGGTAAAAGAAACATTGGGGGTGATGAGCTTAAAGGAATACTTGGCAGTTTTGC